TGCCAGAAATGCAGGAGAGACAGAAACAAGCAGAAGATAAAGAAGTGTTAGTTGCTTTGTTAGTCGGTCAGTCAGATATTTGACAATTTGTATGATCATGTGTGGAATCTGCCTCTACGGCACATGGCGAATACTGTGACAGCACCAATATAAGCAACTCCTAGCACAAGAACAGAGGCCACTCCAGCCACAGTGGCAGATCCACAGGTTTTTTCACCCAGTGTGACCAACATTGCAGTGAGTAGTGGCAGCTTTCATGCCAGCAACATCTGTAACAAATCGCTGCAGACATCCAGCCACCACCAGGGTTTCAGCATCACAGCTGCAGTCGGGTGTGAATGCCACTGCTCCTCAGGCATCTGTCATCAGAGGGACTCTGGGGGCTCAGAAGGAGATTTTGGTGATAAAAAGAAAGTTTGGCTGAGGTCAGCAGTCTGTGAAAACACAGAGTCACCTGTCCAGGTCAGAATGCCAATCCTCTTAATTATTTCTACATGACCAGTCTCTCCATTCCAACTCCCCTTTCCCCAGCTGCCCAAAATAAGAAGATTAATACTTACAGATTGGGAGGAAAGTATAATGAACAGAGACAGTAATCTGCCTGTATTGATAACGGACCCACTAAAAACTACAAATGTAGAACCTGAATGAATGATCACTGTTACTGTTATATTACATTGCATTCCATAGATCCAAAGTTAGTCAAATGACTGTAGGATGTGGAACATGTCATATAAATACAAAGAATATCTAAAAAGAGTAATAACAACAATGGTTACACATAAGGTTATTCAGAGCTACATCACTTTGTCATCTCATGCTATATTTATACAGTCTTTAAATCTCATCTCAGGTTCAAGTCCCAATGAGGTCATTTGATTTTTTTTACTTGACCTAATCCTGGGGTTCACTCAGCCTCTAACAGAAATGAGTATCAGGAATTAATTAAATAATTTTCCTGGGGAGTAAAGTGCGGCCGGCAGGTAAGGCTGACAACCTTACCGCCATCTATGAGCCGATTGTCTTAGATAATGTGGAACCCTCAACGTCTCACAACCCTATGGGCCTTCACAGCCTGGTACAGGGTACTTTATTATTGTGAACTTACACAACCCTCACAAGGATGAGTCACTATTCAGACAATAGGTATTCATCAACAGAGTAGCACAAGTTTGTGAGTAAGTGTCATTTAGTGCTGTTTTTAGTCATGCTTTTTCCTTCATAAGACAATATCCAATGCCCCCATGAATTACTTGTTATTTACTAATTACACTCAAACCTGTAAATAAAGAACATATTTTTAAGCCTTAGTGGCAAATTTATAACCACCCCCCTAGAACTGCATTCCACTATCACAAACACAAATGTAAGGCTTTAGTAGTAGAGGAGCAACAAATCCCCTTTAGAGATTTACAATCTACTACTTTAAAACCTCAGCCACTCTGCTTACCATAAAGCAGTTATTATTCTATTTTGAATTGAATTGAATTTATTTACATTCTATAAATCCTAAGCAGGTTAGTACCTTTGGATACAGAACAAGTCAAAAGGTTACATACATAAGTACAGGCAATTTTAGCTTAAAAATTAATATAACTTAATTTTACATCATTCTCTATTTACATTGAAGTATTCATCTAAAGAGTAGAAGGAATGAGCATGTAGATAATTCTTTAACTCTGATTTAAACTTTTTAGTATCATTGCCCAAGTTTTTAATACTTTGTGGCAGATTGTTGAACACTTTTATGCCAGTAAAGTAGACTCCTTTTTGATATACTGATAAAGTTGATGAGGGTAGGTGGAAGTTATATTTTTGTCTAGTATTCATGTTATAGACATCATAATTTAATTTGAATTTATCTTTGTTGTAAACAACAAATAGGAAAAGCGATAATATGTATTGCGATTGAAGCGGTAGAATTTTTAATTTCTTAAATAATTCTCTACATGAATCTCTATTTCTACACCCTGTAATGATTCTTATTATATTCTTTTGTATTTTAAAAATTATTACACAATGTGAAGAGTTCCCCCAAAATATTAATCCATAGTTCATAATAGAATGAAAGTAGGCATGGTAAACCATCTTCAATGTTTCCTGTGACATAAAATGCTTAATTGATCTCATCGCATAGCAAGCTGCATTTAATTTAGGTTGTGGGAGCATTCCCACATTGTCTGGCAGACAACCGTCACCCCTTTCAGAAAGTGCCCAACTGGCAGCTGTGACCAAGCGGACACGGAATTTATAACATTTCCAACTACTGCGACTTATATACCAGCTACATATATTTATAAACTTCGCCGTGACTCCGCCTTTCCGTGCACGGCCCAATGGATGCGCGCCGTGACGACTGCAACTTTAGCTCCGCCTCCCGGCCGGTTGTATTTAAGACCGGGAGCACAAGGTTCAAGCAGTTCAACTCGAAACGGCAACGCAGTTACAGGAGTCAACACCACTTCTACTACCGGCCAGCTGACATAGCTGCCGCAAGCCTTCAACGAACGCATCTTCCGCAACCCAGCAACCGACCGAGCCAGTCCATCCTACCGGCACGCTCGGCACGCTCAGCACGGCATCACCGCCCAGACAGGCCAGCCAACGCCTGAACATTATAAGTGTATTCCGTGCTCTGTATATTGATTTTAGCGATTCAATATATACAATTGTACAGTTTCGTGTGGTTTGCCTATTGGAGTATTGACGACAATCCCACATTGGTGACCCCGATAAAGTATGGCGACCGTTGACAGCACGACAACCGAGGCCCCAAGAGTAACTGTGCGGCTCCCGCCGTTCTGGGCCGAGCAGCCTGCCGTATGGTTCGCCCAAGCCGAGGCACAGTTTTCATTGGCCAACATCAGAGACGAACAAACGAAATTTTATTACACAATCTCGCAACTGGACCAACGTTATGCGGCAAGCGTCGCGGACATCATCACTGCGCCCCCGAACATAACCCCTACGCCACGCTCAGGGCCGATCTCTTGGGGCGGCAGACCCCCTCGAAGGAGCAACGCATCGACCAACTCATCACGGTCGAGGAGATGGGTGACCGTAAACCTTCGCAGTTCTTGAGGCATCTCAGAATCCTCGCCCCCGACATGCCCGAGTACGTCCTGCGCACCATCTGGTCCAGTCGGCTGCCTCCCCACGTAAGGACCATACTCGCCGGCCAAAATGATTGCAGTTTGGAAGCCGCCGCCCGCTGCGCAGACCGCATCACTGAGGCTGCACCGCAGCCGGCGCTCGCTAGCGTTGGGTCATCTCCAAACACCGCACTCAGGGAAGAAATAGAGGACCTCTCCCGACAGGTGGCAGCACTCCGGGCCGGGCAGAGCCGCCCCCGCAACAGCCCCAGAGACCCTCCGCCCAACT